AGTGGAACCTCTGTATAGTGGACACCTTCTGGACTTCCCAAAAGTGTCCACTATACAGAGGTGTCCACTTTAGAGAGGTTAAGTCTTTTTCAAGTTTTGTGATGCAATACAGCCTTTTGAATGCGTGCAGTACTATGAATAATATAATGAAATTTACTATACTTTTACAGATCCACCGTTCATTATTTTATTTTCACAAAGAAAACAACAAGAATAGAAAAAAACATCAGCAATAAGAAAAATAGTCTGTAATAGAACTTTGTTTAACCGCTTTTGAATCAAGATAAATATCAGTTAATTGTGATTCTAAATCAGATATAAGATTGTGTAATTGAGGTTGTTCGATAGAAGCAAAAAGATGAAGTTTTCTTATCATTTCGAGTGCTTCGGATAAATTTGGTGGTTGTTCTACTAAACCTTCTTCTTCTTCCTCGTCTTCGTTATCATCTTGTGTAACTTGGATGTAAGTTTTCAGATGTTCATAGTCGTCCCATTCATTAAACGTTGGAATACAGGAATCAATGTTAACAAATTCGGCAGCTGTTAACTGTGGACCAGCAATTTGAAGATGAGTCAATGATGAATCAAGTTGTTGTAGAAGATTATCAGAATTGTTTAATTCTATATCAGCTTCGACATCAATATCCATGTCTACCGCAGACGACGAAGATGTAGAAGAAGAATGTGTGAAATCAGCAGCACGAAAACCATTTTTAATTGTCTTTTCTGTAACATTTTTCCATGAGATTTCTATCCATTTAATTGCATCTAAGACAGTAATTGATATTTGAGCAGCAGTTTGAGCCAGAGTACATTTAGCAATTATATGTTTCACTAATTTTTGTCGATAAAAACATTTAAATGAGTGGATTACACCTTGATCGAGTGGTTGACACTTGGATGTGGTGTTTGGAGGAAAGAAGACAAGTTTAATATTCGATAAATCTTGATTAATCACGTGGCATGGAGCATTGTCGAGAAAGAGAAGAATTTTCCGGTTTTTTTTTTCATTTGATTAAAGTAATTTTTACAATGTCCACTACAGAGAGGTATTTGGTATGAAAGGGACTGAAAAAAAGTGTCCACTATGGGAGGTGTCCACTAAAGAGAGTGTCTACTATGTAGAGGTTTAAATCCAGCAAAAAATGCTCCGTCGGACCTCAAGGTGTCCACTATAAGGAGGTGTCCACTATAGAGGAGTGTCCACTAAGAGAGGTTTTACTGTATGTTGCTTATGATTGTCTCGCTGTCCAATCTTTATTACCAGTTCTCTACCCACGTCCTCCATCACTCACCTACTTATTCATCATCAAGAAGCAACGCCCCTTCTCTTCTTGTTGGTGGTGATGACGGTTGATGATGATAGTGTGACGGCTAGATATTGGCAAAGTTTCACTAGAATCTGAGACAAAATGTTACATATTTTCCTTTAAGCAGAAGATACAATGAATGGTCATTGTAGCTCGTCATTGTATCTTACTTATCTTTACCGGAAAAATAGGTGAAGATAAGTAATCACCAAATCCTATCATCAAGTCGCCAGATTGTACGTGTTTTGACATTGATGGCAGCGATTTGGTGATGACTTATCTTCACCGAAAAAAAAATCTGCAGCGGCGGCCATTTTTAGCAGGTAACATCTGACTGCGTCCTCTGCTACGTCCACTATCAGAGGAAACCGCTGATTCGCCATCTTTAATTTGTTACTGTACCTTCTGTTAGCCAGTGTATAAACAGATTCCAACCTCTTTCTTCTCCATATATTATTCTTTATTCCTATAGAAAATACGAGTAGTAGAACGAGGTTGGAATCTGTTTATACATTGGCTAACAGAAGGTACAGTAACAAATCAAAGATGGCGGATCAGTTGTCTTCTTTGGTGGTGAAGGTAAGTCATCGTTCGGGGAAGCTATGCTAGGCGCAAAAAAAGTTAAGCGGTGATGACTATTTTTACTGACCAACTGACTTAACTGACCAAATTTGATTGGTGTAACCATAGATAGATCAATCAAATTTGGTCAGTAAGGTCGGTCGGTCAGTAAAAATAGTCACCACACTGTAAATTCAGTCACCTACTGATATAGATGAAAGTCACCCACCTACGTGAGTCATAAAATGTCTCACACTGATGGGTGACTGTCAATCACCAATACAGTCCTTGTCACCCGCCAGAGGGCACACTTTGTAACCCATTTAGGTGGGAAGAAAAATGTATTCACAGTTTAGCGGTAATTATTTAGTAACGCATGATGCGGAGGTAGATAAAGTATCATGTTGAAACGTAGAATATACGATTTACATAAATTCTTGGTTAACATTGATATTAATATAAAAAAATATTTTTTCCCATTTTACATGAGAAGTTTATTAATATTTCAGTATACATAAAAGAACCAAAAATTCATATTCACAACTGGTTTTGTATCATAAAGAAAATCATTATGTGAATATCCATTGAACTGTAGTAAGTAAAACAATATGAAAACAAGAAAACAAAAATTTTCAGAAACATGGACATTTTTCAGAAATACTGAATTTGAACATAGAAAATATAACAAAGAAAAATACACACCTGCGTAGTATATAATGACTAACTATTTCAAATGTTCTGCTACCTGTTCATAGCCATTTGAATTCTTTTTGGATACTCGCATTGGAATACAGTAAATACACATAAAAATAAGCGTAAAACATTTTCTAATCCACTAGATGAAACTTGAACATTTATTTTCGTTCCTGATATTATAGTAATTTCACATCTGTCAGAATTTTTCCCAGATAAATATATACCCATTCTTTCGTTTGGCCCTAAAATGTATAACAATTGTGATCGATTATTTTTTTCAGCAGCATAATAGAAAACTTACCTTTTTAACAATTTTGAAAACTAAATATTCAGATTGACATTCACGACAAAGATTATTCAAAGCTTCAATATCTAAATCTGTTTGCTAGAATGAAAAGAAGCATTGTGTTCAAACGATAAGACAGAAAGAGAAATTGAACTTAGTGTCTGCCAGTTAGACTTACTGAGGATGAAGTTCTTGGATTATATTTAGATACCAAATTATTTAATGTTGTTCGAACTGCTTTCATCATTTTTTCTCTTGTATGTGTTGTTATTAATTCATATTCATATGTGACCTATAAATAAGCTTCTAGATGTATGGAAAGTGTAGGAGCCGTAAATCACCAAAGTCATACGTACTACTTGGTCATTCAACAATTTACTATATAAAACACATTTGTCAGCAATTGATGATGCTAAATGTAACTTTTTCATTAAACTTCGTCGTGTGAGGAATGTTATTTCTTGTAAATGTTTTGCATGTTGTAATGTACTTGGTTCAATATTTTCCAACTTTTTACATTTCAATTTTTTGATTATTTCGCGTAATTCTGTCGTTAAGCGAGTAAATGTTTCATCATATGATGTTGCTGTAGATGACAAGGGTGCTGATAAGTCGTTAGACGCTGAACATATACTAGACGATAGTTGTGTATTTGTGGTCGTTGTTATCCTCTTTGATAAAATTGGTAAGAACGGTGGACGATCTGAAAACAAAAGGAAATTTAATTTAATGTTAGACTATAAATTAATCAATAACGTGAAGCAATTACTGGATGATGAAAACAGAATTGGTTCTTGTTTTATTCGTTGCTGCTGTGAAGGAATGATAATCGGTTGTTTCAATTGTCTTACGGTACCATGACCTAGAAGTATAAATAGATTTTTTTCTTATATGTTCATACATTCTAAAAATATTACAAAAACATATTTTTATTTGTACTTGTAAATTTGTTATTTCTTTGAGATTTTAATATAGGTATCATATGTGGACTTTGGGGCCGTTCAATAATTCGTACTATTCTTGGTTGTTGCACTAAAGCAGACTCTGACGTCGTCTGTGTCGATGTAATATCACACAAATCCAACGCAGCATTGGATGAAATTCGTTTGACTTTTTGTCTTAATTGTTCATAATAGTTTTGTTTTGCTGCTGTGTTATCTGGTTCATCTTGCTTATTTACAGTGCATGATGGGGGTGATAATTCTTGTAAATCTGCATCTTCCTTTCTTATTTCAAATGATTGTGATGCTGTTACTTCTGTATCGTGAGACGTTGGTGTGTTTGTTCTTTTTGGAGATAAGAGTCCAGTTAGAAGATCATAATCCACAATGACTTCTTCGTTTTGTGTAGGAATTTCATCTGGATTTAGGATCGAAGAAAAATCATTTTGTTCTAAATCGCTATTTGCATCCTGAATAAAAGACCAAAAACATAGAAGTCAAATAAATATCAGTGAGAATTATTTTTAAGTTAATGATGAATATTTACTCATATTTAATCAGTCGATAGTGATGACTATAGTCACCACTATCGACTGATTTGCCATTCATGGTACCATCTAGCGTCTAGTTTTCACCCTCCTAACGTACTCTACCCATAATAAAATCCGATTCAGGGTGTTTAAAAGAAAATTATGAATGATTAAAACATATTAGGGTATTTGAATTAATTCCCGAAACAAGCACAATCTTGTGCTTGTAATAAACTTAACAATTTTTAGTACCACTATTTGACACATATTCTTATTGTTTTTCTTCTATTCTGTACTCAACAACGTTTCATAATAACGATCTCCACTCAACCATGTATTGCAGAAATAATCATTAGGCAATGCTTGGGATGTCGTACTTGAAAAGAAATATATTACAAGTGTGTATTCAAAGTAGTGCAGATCTTCAAGATGGAGGATTGATAAGAAGATTTAATGGAAAGAACATAAAGAATACTTTCATTTTCTTCGTATAAAATATACTGACAGCAACTCGTGTAACAGTATTGAAATCCATATAATTTTCTTACAAAATTATTATATAAGGTGCGATTTTGGAATATTTGAGAATTCCTTCAGTGATACGCTGTTCATAGTCAAAATATGAAGAGCTTTTTTTTTAAAAACTAACAAAATAGAAACAGGAGAATCGTTAGTACTTGAAAAAGTATTTTTTTTTTAGAAGAGTGGTGGAAGCATCCAGTGGCGGCGGAACGATTGCAGTCTAGGGGAGACTCAAAATCTTTTTTGCTCACCATATGTAAACTAAAGATGAGATCTATGATATTTTCTAAAATATTTGAGCCTCCCCAAGCCTTCCTCTTCCTTTTCTAGGAGAGGCTTAGGTCTCCCCTAGCCTAATGGGTCCGCCGCCACTGGAAGCATCTGATTCAAAGCAAGACACTTAGAAATGACAATAGACTAAAGATTTTTTCGCAATTAGCGTTCCTATCCTTTTGTATGATAGGCATCGCCCACTAAATAGGTAAGAGACTGATAAGATTTAGATAAGAAAATTGTTAAGCTTTTATTTCAACTTTGTGATTGTATAAGTAAGTTTTGTGAAATGTGCATTTACATAATAGTATTTTAAAATTTGAATAATGACAGATATATCTAGTTTTTATAATAAAAAAAATTGTTTTCCTAAGTTATTTTTGTGGTTAAGTTTGACATAATGGATCGTTGCATTTTGTTTTTCAGTTTTTATCAGTTAATCCCCTTCCATTGTCTTATTTATGTAAAAATAAAAAGATTTAGATTACTATAAATAGTGGTGAAGTAAAAACAAATAGTATCCGAAGACAAATAGAAGAAAAAAAAATGGCTAAGTATATTAAACAACTTCATCTTCGATGAAAATTGACTTGAATTTTGATATCATTTGATTATTAAATTAATGCTCTCTGATAATACATATGGCCAATTTATTGTTTATATTGTATATTATATCAGACGGTATCATCTAGATGATATTCACACGTAGCAATATGATAGTACAATACACATCGAAACGTACTAAAAGTTGGAGGATGAAACTTTACTCGTAGACGTAGTTCATTCGGTCTCCTCCACATTGATGACCTTGATTATACACGTCCACATTGTACTCTTTCTTCTTGTGTATTTGATATTATGTACATACTTGTGATTTAAAATCTTTTTGACAAACTAATGTTTTTCTATACCATCTTGTTCCATCCAAAATGACATTTTTAACAAGTATGATCAAGAGTCTTAATAAAAATTCATTTGTTTCTTACTGTTACAAACTAAAATGAAAAGAAAAGGAACCCGTAAGTATAAAACATGAGTATTTTAAAGAGTTAAAAGTATTTGTCTAATAAACATGATAGTGTTAAGTTCACTTCGCTTATCTATTCTATAAATTTGATGTTTTTTAGTATTTCGGGTTATTGAGTCCCCGAATATTTCTTTCTGTTACTGGTGGTGACATATGTTACACCCTCGGTATTGAGCGACCTCAAGTGATACATAGATCTTTTTTTTTTTCAAAGAAAGTTTCATTTCTTCATTATTATATATCTCATCTTTTAAAATCATATATCCCTAAAATTGAGTTCAAAATCATCTTTGACATGTGCATATTTTTATGCTTAGATAGGCAATGTTGATAAAAATCGTCCTACTTTTGACTTTTAGTTATCTTTGAGAGTTCATGAATCAATGATCATTTGAATAAAATGTATGTATAAAAATATTTTCTACTTGAAACTGTCATTGCACAAATACATGAATTATAAGTATGCTTTTAATAGTTCTATACTTACATGTTAAATTGTTTATTGCCGTTCTATGTCCTTCTCTCATATATAGATAAGGGTTAAAAAAAAAACGACATGGTGGTTCTTTTTTCCTTTAAACTCATAAACGTACAAATTTATTTCCACGTACAGACACGATTTTAGATTTTGAAGATTTTCTGTATTATTTAAATAGATTTTAATCAAAAAATGTCTGTACAATTCACTTTGTTCTACTTTTATATAACAATAGTTTGCTACTAACTAGGAATAGTAGAGATATTTTCATCTGCAATATGAGATTATTTATATATGTAAAGAAGATTTTTATTATTTCTTTTATTTTATCGATAAAAATATATAAGTGTCGAACAGGATCTATTATTCACATGGCTCTTAAATAAACGAAAAAGGTTAACCTACGAGGGTCTCATAGTATTTAATTTAAACATCAAGTGCATCCTTTAGCTATTCTCAAAACAATAATTTATTTATTTATAAAAAAAAAATGTATATCCGATTTGGATAGCAATTGAATTATTGTACACAGTGTTATGTATACACACTCATGGTCACATATACTAAAAACATCTATATTAAGAGAGTAAATTTAGGGATTTAATATGAATTTTTTTCTGTTTTACAAATGGCTTCTCTTTTTCTACTATTATATAATAGTTATACTTTGAATAATTGAATCGAAGAATCTGTAATAGCGTCAATTTATCTGCAATAATCTTACATAAACTTTGCAGCATCTATCTGATTTGCCTTTTTTTCACGACATTATAGATAGAAAGTATTACATTTTTTTTTTTTTTTTATTATTTGTTGCTATATCATGACGAATAGAAACAAGAAAAGAAGAAAAAAAAAACATGATGTCATTATGACTAGGTCTATAAAATACTTTTCTTCTCTTTTTCTCTATTGGAAGTGAGTTATTAAAGGTTTTAGTATTCAATGTCTGTCTTATCTATGAAACAGTATTAAAAAATTGAAAACTAAATGTAGTACTTTCTCTTGAAAAAGAGGAGAACATATGGTAAAATAGCTTATTTTTGACATATAACGTGTGTCAAACATGTAAACTTTCATAAGTTTTAATCATGAGTCAGATCAGCATCGTGGATAAATTTCTCTCTTATTTCAAAGTTAAAAAATATGTAATGCACACAGATTTGGTACTGTCCCGATTCGTTGACTCATTAGTTTTTTTTAATCTGACTCATTAACAACATTTTGAGAGAAAAATGAAAGATATTTTGTGAGATGACGACGCATAAAATATCGACGAAACAGAAAAATCAATTAACCTGTAGACAAATTAGAACTGAATCCACAGATTTCTGTCATTCTAATAAAAAACAGAATCAATAATACTAATTTTAGTTATGTACTCATGTGTATACGTGCCTCAGAATATTAAAATATTTTCATCATCTCTAATGGCAGAGTGTGTAACAACAAAAAACATCATTGGTACATATACAACAAAAGTCATATACATTTTTAATTATTTTAAATTTTCTTAGAATAATTATTCAACTGAAAACGAAACCATGCAACATTTTTTTTTGCATTAATTAGGCAATAAAAAAAACAACAACAACTGAATAAAATCATAAATAAATGTTAGAATTCTTTTTTTCTTTTTTGAATTTTTTATAAAATCGATTCAACTTACTTTAGAAGATAAATTATTCTTTTCTAAAGTAAAATGAGATATATAGAACTATGATATGGACAACTATTTACTTATAATCATCTGATGAAAGTCCTTATTTGACTATTTCATTTTCTTTTTTTTCTTTACTTTGTTTGCTCAAAGTTATCTGCATACTCTCGAAAAAAAAAATATATATAAGAGAAGAAAATCAAAGACAAACATTATTATAATAATAATGATGATTATGCATGGAACTTGTCTATTGTACCACAATTTCATTTCTTTCTAATAGTCGTTGCCACATGCACATATAATATACTTTTTAAAGTTTTACAATTAGAGTCTATTGAAAAGCGTTTAACTATGTACTTTGTAGTCAATATACTTTTTTATTTTGAACAATTAAAATGATATGTGCTAGATGTGGATATAAAGAAGTTCAACAATACAAAAGTAAAAATAATGTGTTACCAATATTTTCTTTTCTTTTCTTTTTTCTTCAAATTTTTAGTCCTACCGACTTCATGATGAAGTGGCATTCTTACAACGAAAATAAAATCAAACATCAAATAATAAATTAAAATGACAGAGACACTAAACTAGTTCACAAGGTGTCATTTAAAAATCTTCAACATGACAGTTGTAAGATTGTACAAAAGAGTCTTAAATTTTTTATTGTCTTTTAGTTAATTTATGTATCGAAAATAGGAATACATAGGATTCACAATTTGGTAATCAAAAATAAAACAAAAAAGAAAATGATATTCAATAGAATTGGTATATCTATGGTCTTTGAATAATATCTTACATGTATCAGATATTCTAAAAGGTAATCTGATAAATTTTGTAGATCTAAGTCACATATTCTTCGAACGGTTTCAGTTTAAGTAAATGAAAAAATTTGTATAACTTTTTAATAAAAGAAAAAAAAATAGAACTTTAATAGATATACTTCAAACTTTGCTTGGAACGACAAATAATTTGATTTTTTTTCCTAATCGATGAACATACATTGAGAAAAATGACTTATAAAATAAAAAATCTATCTGTCAAAAGGCGTCGTTATCAAGCATTGAAAGAACAAGTACATGTGAATTGAGACTAAAATATTATGTGAGTATAAAAGAGTATAAAAGCAGAAATAATATGGTTAAAGAAGAAAAACTATTTTTGTTCAAGTTAAAATTTGAATTCCTATTCAGTCATTCATTGTTCGAGATTTTATTCTTAAAATAAGAAAACGTATTTTTCTTTGTGTCTTTAAAACATATTCACTTGATAAGAACAATCAGAAAAATGGAGAGCAAGAAACCTCAGGCATCTTTTCTCTCGCATCAGTAAGTTGTTATTATTATTATTATTATTATTATGAAATTTTAACTGGAAACGCATATTGTTGGCAAGTAAAACGAAAATGAAAAAAAAAAAAAGAAGAAGAAGGAATTCATGCTGTAAGGTTCATGTAAAGTTTTGTGAATGTGAGGTCAATTGAGTATCAACTCTATTCTCACTATTTCTCTCTTCTCTGAAGATCAATTTTTTTTACTTCTGTTCAATATGCCCATATTCCTTATTTTCATCATGCTGTGTACTTGATAGTATGATTATAGTATGTGGTACACGATATATGACTAGAGTGAAACAAAACAAGTAACTATAATCGAACCCAGTCTCACAAATAACGACTTTTTCATCATATTCTTTATAAATCGTGAGTTCTTCACTAATCGAAAGAGAGAGACAATTATCTGTCTGAATAAATACACTACAAATGATAAGATCTAACAACATCATATTCGAATTTTTCTTTATCTATAAAATTATATAGGATAAAGCAACAAACAACTTGAATTTGATAACGAACAACAAAAAGGTACGGATTAAAATACCGCGATTAGTTGTTTTTTTTTTGTAATACACACACACGTGCAGACACGGACGGCACCTTTTTAATGAACACAGAAAAAATCGAAATGGCTGTTATTTTCTGGTCTATCTTTTTAAAATAACTTAAAGAGACTGACGATGTTTGTATGAAACGATACTGTACAAAGGCCAATTTGAAGTGGATGTAAAAAAAAGAAAACTCAAAGAAGAAACAGAAAAAAATATGTATAGCACATAAGCAATAAATAAATAAAAAAATTAATAATAATGATAATCATCATCATTCTCGTCATTTCTTTTTTGTTGTGATATCACAGCAGTGTTGCTTTAGTAAGGCATACAGACGATGGCCATCATACACTAAAGTCGAGCTATAGAAGCTCCTTCAATTAGTGGTGTATAATCGGTGGGAGATGGAAATGTATTGTAAAAATAAGCTCCCGTTGATGATGGTGGCGGTGGATTGTAGGTATTATATGCATGTTCACGCGTCACAAGACAAGTATTCGTACCCGTTCGAGTTGCCACAACTCCAGGTGGTAAAGAATAATATGTATTTGGATATTCAGCAGCATAAACAGTACTTGTAGCTGGCGCACCACAACCATTACTAAATGGTTGTAATTCAAGATACACGGATGTACATTCAGTTTCTTTGAGTACATTTTGTTCTAAATAGTTAACAGGAATAATTGTATGTGGATGAATAATATGATGTTGAATGGGATTACTCGTTGTCGATGAATAACATGATAAACGATCATCGGCTGAATCGCTTGTTGAATCAGAATTTGGACCATAAAGTAATGATTGTCCACGTGGTAGAGATCCATGCTGTCCATTTTCTGGCGGTGATTGAGGAACAGACTGACATAGTTCACTCGTTTTAGTAGATGACGATGGTGATACAAGCAATGTTTTTCCTAAAAAATATAGCAATAAAATAAAGTACAGAATTCTATATATCTTTTTTTCTCCTGCCTACCGTTCAAATTTTGCTCATTATGTTTTGGATCTGATATTAGTTTAGCATTTGATGGAAAATGATTTATCGTTAATTTTGAATTATTAAATGTGATATGAGGTGATGTTCGCGTTAGATGTTCCGAATTAGTATTATTACTGTGAAAATGTGTTTCCGACGATTGTTGTTGAGGAAATATTTGTGAAAAATTTTGTTGATTAACAAGTTGTGATGGATGATCTAAACCATCTATATGTTCGTCATCACCATCTGATTCAGACTCTTCACTTGATTCATTATTACTCATTGTATCGGATGATATACGATTACCTTGAGTGTTATTATTGATATTATTGTTCGTATTTGGTATATTATTCGTCGTATTTCTCGAATTATGTGCTCGAGATTTATTTGACGCTTGTTTAGTACATTTAAAACGCTTTTGTCGACGTAAATAGCAACCATTTTCGAACATATTACCAGCGTCAGGATGTAATGCCCAATAAGAACCTAAAAGAGATATAAAATTGTAGTGATTGAATAATTTATGAGAGATTAAACTATACCTTTTCCAGGCCGATCAGGTCCTCTTGGAACTTTCACAAAACAATCGTTAAAACTTAAACTATGTCGAATTGAATTTTGCCATCGTTGTTGATTTTGACGATAGTACGGAAATATTTCCATTATAAACGTATAAATATCATTTAATGTTACCATACCACTACTCGAATGTTGTATAGCCATTGTTATTAGTGAAATGTAACTGTAAGGTGGTTTTGTTGGTGCGTTGTTTCGACGTGTTATATCATTCGTCGTTTTTGAACCGGATTGTTGACCATTATCAGCAATCATATTTTGATCGTCTATCATGACCATTTGTTGTTGTTGTGGATCATAAGGTAGCGGCTGTTGCTGTTGTGGCATAAACATTGTTGTATTATTTGTTGGATCGTAATAACATATTGGCATATTAGTTGAATTATTTTCTAATTTCGGTGTATGACATGATTGTACCGGTAATAGAAGAGCATAGTTTTGTGTAGCAGATGACTCGATACAAGGTAGTGAAGAGACACCTGAGAGTGAAGCTTTTTCATTTGTTTGTTGCAATAATTGTTGTATATTTGGTTTTGTTTCATTATCATCTTGAGATTTTGTTGCTGGTGAGGGAGAAGATGAGGCTGCTGTAGACGATGAACTGGTGGACATTGAATGGTTATGCATAGTTGTTGATTTTTTTGTTTTATTTAATGACACATAAACACACCGGTTATAGATTTGAGGATATTTCCAGACGCGTGTTACAGGAAAAAGGGAAAGGTAAATAAATATGAAATATTTTTGATCATACTCTATTCTTGTTGACAAAAAAATGTACAAACAAATAAAATACCAATGAAAAAAAATTGAAATCCCCAAAATCGAGAGAGAAAATAACGGAAATGAATATTGTGTATTTCTTTTCTCGTGTAGTGTTCTATATGTGGTTTATTATTCCAGTTTTCTTTTTCAATTCATATTAAAAATATATGTCTTTCTTTCCATTCTTTTTTCTCTCTCTCTCTCCCCCTCTCTCTCTCTCTCTATCGCTCTCTTTTTCTACTCTTGTAAGTGGTACACACACGCACATACAAAATAAGAGGACCACGATGGATGGATGGATGATGTGATGATCATCAAAGCGCAGTGATACCCGGTAATGTCAGGCTTGCTCACACTATTTTTTTCCTCTTCTTTAGAGTAAAAAAAAATGAGAAAGAATTGAGTCGTTATTTTCAAACCAATACCGAGAACATACGACGGCTGACATTTATAAATATAATATGCATTTTTTACCCGTCGGCAGCTCGTTTTCTATTGACGAATCATTTTTTCTAGTCGAAAAAAAGAAAAAGAGACAGAGAGAGAAAGAGAGAAAAGGAAAAAAAACACTTAAAATATTTCATCAAAACTTTTTGTTAAAAGACATCGAACGCACTATATACATCTCTGTATTTACTATTAAAATGACAAGAGTTACTGTCAAAAAAAGAGAAGAAGAAAATTGTCTCGTTATTCTTATCGCTGCTTTAAATCTTCAACGTGTAGTATTCATAACAAATTTTGGTGTGTGTGTCATAATAAAATAGATTGTGTTTAGGGGTTATAGGGCTAATTTCATTAAGCAATATTTTATTTTATTTTTTAATGAATGTGAACTTATTGCACTCATATAACAACAAAATACTAGATCCTTGAAAAAATACAAAACTTTGAAAAATCATTCTCTACTACTAATATAAATAATTTAAAATAAATTTCAGAGCATAATGCCTTAAAAAAGAAAATTGATCACCAGTGTTTATCAGATTTATCAAAAAAAAACATACTGTTATTGTCGTATGATATAGCACGTGATTGAAATAAAACTTCGAAGAAAAATATTATATAATTTTATTCACAAAACTAAATGAGGATTAAAATGTTTAATTAGCATTTTGGATTTTAACAAAAACATATTTTCTAATATACAATAAAAATGCATCAATAGAATAAATACCATCCAAGGCTTTGCCTTTCATATGTTATGAGAGGGTGTGGGTCTTTTTTTCTCTATACATGGGATGTCCGAACTTTTCATGTCAAAGTTGCATAGAAATAGTATTAATTTATACCACGTAACAGTATTCAATATCATCATTATTTCTTAAACTACAGCTCATTCTTTTCCATGAACTAGTGAAAGTATTTAAATTATTTATACTCATTTTCAAACTGATCCTTTTCCAAAACTTTAAAATATCTTTTCTTTCAGAACGTTCAAAACGATTATACGCTTGTCTGTATATTTTTACGGCACAACACGGTGTCGTTTCTTTTTCTTTCTTCTTCATGAATAGATATCTCTCTCTGCCATACACAACCATTTTAATAATAAGGGAAAAATTATCTTTTTCTAATGCATCATGATTGGTCATCGATAAGACAAAACAGCCAATACATCAACTTATAAACCTATATTCTATTTTATGATATCTCTCTTCAATGAATATACAATAAAGATAAGACAACGAAGATATTGTACCACGTCTGTATACTCTTGCACAAATGACATCTGTTTATCAGCCAAATTTTAAAATACTTCTTCGTTTTTAACGGTAGTCTAAGTACATTAGAGAAAATTTAAAACTCTTTTTACTTACCCTAGTCTATTCGTACAAACAATATTGTGTTAATGTCTAACAATAAAATAATGTTTCCATGAACTCATTTTTTTCTCTTCATTTATTTAAAATCGGATAAAAAATTTGTACGCTTGCGTTTTTATTTTTTTTTGTTACTATTTTATTTAGATCGTGTTGTGCAAAATACACACACACAACAAACATTAGAAAAAAGAGAGTTACGACCATACTTTGTTTGTTGAAAGATTGCAAATAACAAAAAAGAAAAACGCGAAGAAGTAAACGAAGAGTAAAGTGGATAGTTGTCAGTCTAACTGTGCGTGTATGTGTAGTCATGAGAGTCCACATTTGTCTTCTTTTTGCCAATCGGACACAATATTTGCTCAAATAATTTTCTGTTTGTAAGCCAAAAGTAAACTTTATGAGTACATGTGTATGTGTGAGAATCGTTTTCTCATAACTATGAGCTTTGTTTGATGATTATGGAAGAAAAATGTCAATATTGCAGATTGAGAGAGAGAGAGAGAGAGAAACTCTCCTCTCACTATGTTTCATTCACTTCGTGTGTATAATCTGTGCTCAGCATAAGCAATATTTAGGTGTGTATATACATAGAGCTCACTCTCTCTCTCTCTCTGTGTGTGTACACTTCTGAAATTATAAATTCAGTTGCATACACACACACGTTATAAATGCAAATACTAATACTAATCATTCACAGGACATTCTCTTTTTCTTTATTTCAAACTCAATTTATTTTTCAACCATGCTACAACGTGTAGACAGGTATATATATATATATATTGAGTTTAGAACCATACACATCATTTTCTCTTTTATGGCAAAATTTTTTATTTTTTTCACCGATTCATATCTTGAGCAGCGAATATTTTGAAGTACCATTTGTTTTACTATGTACAGATTCTTTATCTATGGAATATATTATTGTTGCTTATTCTGAGAACAAAAAGGTTTTATTGATTAAGAAATTATTTATTACAAACTCATTTTGAGCAAAGTATTGCACACAGAATCTATAGTAATCTTAATGATATGATAGTTAAAAGTGTTCAAATTTCTTAGTTGAAGGAAAAAAAAGTATTCTATCTTCTAATTTTTACATGATCAGTTTATTGTATAAAATAAAAGAATTTCATTTATCTATTCACTATTAAACAACATTCCTGATGATGAACAGTGTTTAGAAGTAAATACTCTCTTATTATTTGTCAACTCGTCCACTACAGGAAATACATAGAAATCTCTTTTATTGTTTTTCTTAACGGTAGTAACACGGGAAATAGAATTCTGTAATTTTCGGTTGTTGATTTAGATTTTACACTACATTCTTTTATTTTTTTTGTTTGTCAGGATATAACAAGCGGATGACGTTTCAAAATTATGATTTAATCCTCGAACATGTAAAATATACATATTCGTTGATATTTTTTTTTATGATAAAAAAATAATTAGAATGAAACATGTCCTTTATCATGAAAATATACTAATCAACAGTGCGAAATGGCCTTCTGAATACTGGTATCATTTCAATTTAACATAAGATGACATTCACGATTATGATAAAATACACATATTTCAATCAGATCAAATAACCTGATGCAGCAAGGAGAGAGAGAGAGAGAGAGAGAGAGAGAGAGAAGAAAAACAACTAATCCCTATTTGTTGAACATGTCATGAAAATAGGCGTAGAAGCTCACATTATGCTCCATGGATGAAATATTATTTGATTTAATCTCGGCAGATATTTCATTAATAAATTTTTAAATGAACAAAATATGTATCAATTATAATCGAAGAAATTAAGATGTACTTTTTCTATCATTCTACATAAAAGAAAATGGTCATTTGTTACATATCGTTGATACTTTATTTTTGAAAATTTTAACAAATCTGAAGTTAAAATAAAGTCTTGACTAGGCTGACAGGTATTGTTCTAAGTTGTATATACTAAAACTTAAGTTAAGAAAATATAAAAAATTCCACTGCATTTGTTCGACAGAAAATTGTAAAAAGATAATAAGTTAAAAACAAATTTATTACATTTTCCAATATGTTTAAAATAAAATAAGATTAAAGAATGCATTAGAAACGTGTTCGAAAAAGCATTTTTCTCAAATTTGTTAACTTTCAAATGCGTTATGAATATTTTCTTATCAAATTCTGTTTAACACCGTCAATGTATCTTAAAAACATTTTTTGAGCACGCTTTAACTTTTCGTTCGGGTGATAATATTATCTTATACGCATAATGAAGCGGCAAACAAATTGTGTCTCCAATCATTGTAGCCTCCTTCTAAATAATTTAAGCAAATGTAAGACAAAATTATCTCTGTAAAATTTCCAACTTTAGTAGTATGATTCATCATCTCTTTTTAAAATTCGATTCTATTAAAATTTGTCGAATTAAAATGTTTCACCGTCATCTGATAGTTTATCAAGATTTTTATCCAAAAATTTTCCGAGGAGCTTAATGTGACTCTTTTGGAGTTTTGTACATGAATCCATTTGTATATGATACATTTCTAGTGTTATTCACATTGCTGTTCAATGAAAATTTTAACAACAAATGTTGTATTTTTCTGAATGAAATATAAAAAATAGAAAAAAAAAATGACATAGAGAGAGAGATATTTGGTTTGAAATGCATAAAAAGAGACGTCTGTGCATAAGAAAGAGTGAGAGTGAGAAAGAGATAGAAAAAAGAAATCATTCATTATGACAAAAAAAAAAACTTGAAACACCGTCGAATCACCATTGTCTTGCAAAGAAGTTGAATGAATGCAAAAAAGAAAATGAAGTGTGGAAAAGAAAAAATATAATAGTGTCAAAAATGCAATAGATAACAAATAAACGTAAATTTTGATCGAATGCGTTCTAATTTTGACAAATAAAAAATATTAAAGACTAGTTTCAGTTTTTCAAACAATAATATGTCATAAAAATTCAAAGTTAACAATGTGTTGAGAATTACGCAGAGAACACTTTAAAATTAAAAGTTTCATGACAATTGGGATTATATTTTAGCAGTTGAATTAGAACATAGAATAGTCAAGAATAGCAAAAGCAAATTTGAACGTAGTACAGAATATGTTTTAAATATTAATTCGGAACTATCATTCTGTCGAATGACTGACTGTATGCAGTTATATTGATACATAAAAGATTTACAGAAGCAAAATGTGTGTGATCTAGAAATTTACCTTATTGGCTAGTAAAATAATAATCATTTTGTAGACCGTGTGTCATATTTCTTAGATTATCGGTGGTTGTCGTTGCGGATGGTGTAAAAAAACTACAAGCTGCTGCAGCTGCAGCTGACATTTGATCAGTATAAAACGGTTTTAAATCGTGACTATACTTCATTAATGCTTCATTGTTAATAATGCTATTAATTGTAAATGGATGTTGAAATGCAGAAGGGTTCATGGCAAAATGTTGAGAATCTAATGGATTTAATTGAGAAAAATCGTATTGTTTAGGAATTTTAGTTGTTGTTGTTCCTGTCGTATATGAATTATCGGTAGATTCGTTCCCGGTATAATGACCGTTTATTGATAATGTATGTATCGGTGGAACGAGAGACGTTGTTGTGGCTGCTACTGATGATAGTTGACTATTTGAAAATTGATTGTATGCCTCTGATTTGATCATAACATCATGAGAATTAGATTTTGACTGATTATCAGCATCTTGTTGATGATCAATTAATTGTGTTTCGTACATGGCTCGTTCAATATGATGATAAGGATGACCATTTTGATAATCGACATAATGATGATTTGTTTGATGTGTTTCAGATGGACTAGCTGTTGTAGATGCTGAACAGGTTTCGCCTTGTGAATCATAATCATCGGATCCGCCCCCAGAATCAGTAGGCGATGGACATTTTGTACCATTATTCGATTTTTTATTTGGTTTTTGTCCATAGTCTTTCAATAGCATACCGTCTTTTTTCAAACATTTAAAACGTTTTTGTCGTCTTAAATAACAACCATTTTCAAACATGTTACCTGATTCTGGATGTAATGTCCAATAAGAACCTTTACCTGGTCGATCGGCACTTCTAGGCACTTTCACAAAACAATCGTTAAAACTTAAACTATGACGAATTGAATTTTGCCATCGTTGTTGATTTTGACGATAATAGGGAAAACGATCTTGAATAAATTGGTATATTTCAGCCAATGTACACATCCGATTTGGACATTCGTTAATAGCTAATGTAATAAGTGATATATAACTAAAAGGTGGTTTTGAAGCGGAAAATCGTCGTGGAAACTGAACGGCGGCAACAGAATTTATGGTACTTTTTTCATTTGGTGGCAACGAATAAGGCTGTGTTTGTCCATTCGAATGATTATAAGCTAATTGCATGTAAGGTGAACACATACCTGCTTGTGTCGTCCACATATCATCGTTAGGTGTAAATGCTGACGTGTTAACAGAAGAATTTACAGAGCAAGCGGTTGCTCCAAACGCCAACGGTAGTGTATTAGTGTACGTGTTGTCAACATTCGATGATTGTGAGATAAACGATGATTTTGATGATGTTGTCTGCATAACGTTGTTGTTATATTGTCATTTTTGGAGAAGTACTCAGGTAAGTTGACTTTTTTTTATGAAGATGTACAATTGTTAAGATAATCCACGGAACAAAATGTTTGCTCACATATACGTATAGATATTTCAAATAAATATAGATGATTTACAACTGCAGATAGAGAGAAAGAATGATGACGACTGATGGATTGATAGTTCTAATATTTTTTTATATACTTGAGAATATGTGTCAAATGTGATGGTGATGTTTGTAAGAAAAAAGAAAAACGAACGAGACACACACATACCAGTGACAAATGTACGTTTTTTTATGTGATGAAGATACAAGGAAGAAGAAAAAGGAAAAGATGAAAATAATTGCGAGAGGATAAAATTAGAGAGAGAAATAGAGAGAAAAGAACAGAGAAAGCGAACAAGAAAATGTAAAGAAGGGGAGCATGTACAAAAAATAGATGAAATGACAAAAAAAAAAGCCAACCACGGAAAATCTTCACTTTAACAACTGGATTGGTTCTAGCACTTTGGAACAAGAAAAAAAAAAGAAAGAACGATGTTAAGGTGGAAATTTGAGCAAAATCATTTGTAATTTCTAAACTGATTGTAAGAAGATAGAAGATTGTATTAATGAGTTTAGTAAAGAAAATAAATTAGTATGCTGCTTCATCTATGTTTTTCTTCCAATTATCTATCCACTTGCAGACTACGTTTACGCTTTAAACGATAATTGTTAGAGTATAGTTATAGTAAAAGAAAGATCCACATTTGAAATACGCATAGAGCTTAGGATGTGTCCCTACACATGTAGAATCAAGGGAAACAAAACAGCTCAGAGAGATTTACAGAGCACTTGAACTGCTTTCCGACGTATTTGATATGCTATACGATGCTCTATTTATTACATTGAACACTTTGAGTCTGATAAAACTTCATTTACATGCGAGAAGTAGAAAAGAAACGAAGGAGACCGCAGAAAAGTGCTTACTACATAAACATCGATACATATAAAGGAATTGTTATGTGAAATTAAACTAACAACCATCTGTACGCTTCAGAAAGTTATAAAGCTTTATTCAGAATTAACTAGAATCTACTTAAAGACTATTTGACTTTTCTGTAATGAAAAGAGCGTCGAGAGCTAAAGGAAGCTTTGAAATACTGTGTGATGGTAAGTGGTACCTCACGGATATTTAGATACTGAGCAATGCTAAGAAGAAAAAACATCGCCTTTTTCCCCTAGTGCAGAATAGTTTATTTGTCAACAGTTTACTCACAAGAAAGCTAATTAGGATTGGTGTTTATTTTTATGGAGGTAAGAAGATATTAGCAATCGAGGTCAGATATGATATGTAATCAATAAACATATAATGCACTTAATGTAAAGTATTCTGTCCATATTCTCAATTTAGACTTTTTTCGTTCTTTCTTGTAAAAATTCAAAATACGACAAAAGCACGTTCATTCAAGTGATCATGGAGAAAAAAAAAAAGTCGAACAATGATATGTAAATATTGAAGGTCAACTCAATGCGTCTGTCTATTATTTTTTTTCTCTTCAGAAAGATGAAGAAGTTTGGTTTTAGCACGATTAACTATCAAAAGCCGCTCTTCTTTTTATTTTTTCTATCTTTCCCATTAACCACCCCTCTTTTATTAGAAAACAAGTTGAGCCTTAATAATTAATTAATTTGTTACTCGTCATGTTGTGTGCGATTAACTTCAACTAGTATACGTGTCTTTTTTTTATACAGTGGTAAACAAATAGTTAACTGTGTGATCTAGGTCATCACGCGCGTTGTAGTTGTCCTAAGAAAAAGTAATTAGTTGTGAAAGCTTATGAGCTTATGTCTGAAATGAAACAAGGCTATTTTTTACTGTCTCTTTTTCTGTTTTATTATCTCATAATGTTAAACAGAACAGAAATACCGAAACAAACATCTAATTTTTATTGATTATCGGTATTTCTTTTCAAGAATTAACTGATTTTCATTCAATATTTTTTTAAAGAATTTTTCTTATATATTTTATTTGACTATATTTTCTTCTGATAGAAACACATTCTAAGTGTTTTTTTATGCTCTTGTTGAAAAAAAAATGTTTTTCCTATTTCTATTCGAACACGTCTCTCCGTGAAAAGGATGACAAAAAAAAAGAGAAATGACTTATTCGTTCGTAGTCTATCAGCGGTATTCTCATTTTCACATATAAGTGAGTTAAAGCCAATTTGTGCGTACTCTATGATGTATACGATGCACACATACATCTATCAGTACAATATGATTGAACATAAAAGAACAAGTGTTTTTTAGCACATATTATAATTATTTATGGCAAAACAAATTGGAAATTTTTAGTTCTTTTAACGGCTTTACCAATCAGTTATTTATGTCTGAGATGAGTGAAGGAAAATCACAACAGACACATCTGAAAATAAATAACAACCGTCAGTCACTTTGATTATCAGTTATCGTCATTGATGTGTTAACAATAAACTGTCTCTTTTCAGTATCTATACTGAAAGTGAATGTGTGATAATAAAAAAAGAAAAGATTCGTTAAAAATGCTCATGCGATTTCAGGTACAGACGTGCATCTTGACCTATTTCCAGCCCATGGACCTAGTAGACCCGAAAATATGGCTTTGGTTCAGATTGTATACGAATAAGAAAATTTCTATAACATTCAAGTTCCGATCCATAATTCATATCCATGCATATAAAATATATTAGCTCGACTTAGAAGTAAAAATCATTAGGATAGTTTCGAAGTTCTTCGTCAAAGCATATGCAAATATAGTCTCGAAGGAATGAAATGTAACAAAACCAAAAACTACCTTAACTATTTCAAGAGATTTATACTTAAGAAAATGGATGTTTTTGTTGAAAATTTGTTTTTGATCTTTCATAAAAAAAAAAGGGTCTAACTCTTTTCGATTCTTTTGTTCTAAACGATACTCAAAATATAAAACTTTTTCAGACACTCAATTTAGCTCTGCGCTAGCGTTCAGTCAACGACAATACCCATAGAAAAAGTTTACCTCTAGAGTATAAGAGTTCCTCGACATCTAATTCAACAAGATGTTATAATAGCACTTGTACTTCGTTCTAGGGATGTGCTCAAACGGAATGACTTTTTGTTTTCAAATTCGAGTCGATAACAGCGTTTTAATAAGAATGTTGTGTTAAGAATACGCCCATTGTGCTCATTTTTGTGATATTTAAAAAATAAGAAAAAGCAAACAAGTGAAAATGTTCTTCAATTATTATTATTATTATTATTAGGAAAATATATATTCACAGGTATTAGTAAAAAGATCATATCTGTACCACATTATGTATACTGAGTTATTCTTATATTTGAAATAATGTTTTCTCACTTGTGCTCACTGTAAATTCTAGCATCAACTGAATAAAATCATGATGATATTGATAAAAAGTGTTGTTAAAGAAAAGAAATAAAACGTACAACATTATCCATGAATCTAATGATTATTGTCTACTGTATACTCTAAATCTTCAGCTTATAAGTGTTAAGATTTTCAGTTGTCTTTTTAATTAGAAACAATAGCCAAAAGTTATACACTTACCAATTTATAAATTGTTCTACTTGCAAATATGTTCATTCCCATAAATCAATGATTATTATTCTTGTTACAAATCAATAATATATGTGTACAGTTAAAAACTATTACTTTTTAAAAAATATTTCATTTTCTTTTCTGCAAATAAAAATTGAAAATTTTCTTCTCTACTATTTTCCTTTTTTAATATTTTTTCTCTACTTTTTTCTTGTTGTTACTACTATTCAAACTGCACATTCAACTTTTTTCTTTTATTTTCATTTTTTTTTTCATTGCTGAAAAAATTTTCAAACGTTCTCAAATTTCTTGTACAAAATTAAGTAAACATACAGATGGTCAAACAATATCGACAATAATGAAATCTAAAACATCAATATTTAATCTCTATAAAAACTGTATAGAGATGGAACCAATGTATTTTTTTCGTATAGAAAATGCTAAACATTAAAATTCTATGATAGACAGGAGAAAGAAAAGGCAAATACAGGAGCAAATATTTACTATTTTTCAATTCTAATAAGTAGATCGAATATTGAAACGAATCATAAATTGAAACTGTTTGTGAAAGTTCACATCTATATACATGGACAATGAGAGAGAGAGAGAGAGAAAGAGAGAGAATAAAAAGAATTTTAGAATATTTTAAAATGTGCCAGGCCAATTTCTTCCGAGAACAATTCTCTTTTATACTCTTTATTTTCATAATAATAGTCAACAATTTTTTCAATCGTTCATTTTTTTTATAGATTATCTAAAAAAATTGAATTTATACTCTTCGTTGTTTCATCGTCTGTATGTTATTTTTAAAGATGATTTTTTATTTAGTCAAGTTTATATTTTTTTTTATCGTTAAAGAAAATAATTGATTAGTAGAAATGCATCCATAACTGGAAAACGAATTCATCCACTTTCGATCAAAAAACAAAACAAAATTGAGCTTAGCTGTTGTGTCTCAGTCAATCGAATTTCAGATTTGTCACATATAATATATTTCCAATATTTGTTCTACTTTTCTAATGTTTGTTAAATATGATCTTGTTTTTTCAGGAGAAAAAAGCGAAATTAATAGACTTGTTGACCATTATGGTACATTTTATCTTAAGCCTGTGGAACGATGAAGGAGAGTGAAGATGCGTCTATCCAATTTTAATTGAAGAATGTCAATATTTGTCATATTATTTTAATGTTTGCTTCTTGAGTAGGCATATTTTATCAATTATGATTTGTTTTTGGTGATATTGAAAATTAACTTGTGGTGCGTGTAGTAAGTGATTCTTAGGTTAAAATGATGATGATGATGATGATGGTTGATTGACAGAAAAGCAAATAAATAATTTGTCTTTAGGTAAAAAAATAACTGGCAGTATTATTACTACACATTGATGAACAATTTTAAGAAATGAAAATTAGTTATCTACAATTGTT